AAAATGTTCGAAATTATTTCGGAATGTGAAAGACTGGAATTTTGTAAATCATTTATTTCTAATCACACCTTTCCAAGACATTTTTATAAAATTTTGAAGTCAAGTAAACTGCAACCGAATAATTCCCACCTTCTTCGCCTTGCCAATTCGCATATTGAAAAAGGAGAAGAAAAGCTGCAACAATTACTGCTGTCTCATACATAGGCTTTATCTGTTTTGTCGGAATTATCTTTAATATGTCATATGAAATTCATTGCCTTCTGTGCATCCCTCGCTGGTAAAACAAGAGCAAACATGCGTAAGAAGCTAGACAAATCACTTAATGACAATAAACTTGTAACTCCTTTCCCTGTCAATCCAAAGAAATACGTTGTCAACCTATCTTCTATAACACTTTCATCACTACAGGAACAAGCCTTATCACTTGGACCTAAGTTTTGCGTTCCTCAAAAGTATTTCTCAGAACTCAAAGTACACGCACAATTTGGAATTCTATATGACCAGATGAAGCCTCTTACTCCCGTTTCTGAAGATCATCACATTTGCTTCAAAGCAAAGTTAGTTGACATTGCTCACCAATTCTGCAATAGTCGCACATTTCAGAAAAGTATCCTAACATCTGAGCACTTTAAAGCGCTAAAAGAACTCAAAAATAATACTGACATCGTTATCCTCACTCCAGATAAAGGGTCTAGTGTGGTTATAATGGACAAAATTGAATATAAGAGTAAAATGTTATGTATTCTTGGAAACAATGATAAGTTTATGAGAGACTCCAGTCTGGAGGATGTGAAGAATGTACAAAATATGATGACAAATAATCTAGTAAAACTCTTAAACATGAAGGCGATTCACAGAGAGGAATTCAACACACTAAAGCCCACGCAGTCCCAATTACCACACATGTATGGTCTGCCCAAAACACATAAACTTAACATTCCTCTACGTCCCATATTGTCAATGTGCAGATCTCCAACCCACAAACCTGCACAGTGGCTAGTGGAAATATTAGAGCCTATTAGAAGGAGCTTCTGTAAGTTCTGACTGAAAGACACTTTTGAGCTAATTCATTGTCTTGATAACGTTGATATAAAGACAAAACCATGTTTTCCCTAGATGTTGAATCTTTATTTACAAATGTACCTCTTTTACAGACGGTTGACATTTTATGCGAGTACATCTCTGACAACGATTTCCTTTTACCAGTATCCAAATCTTACTTAAAAGAGTTACTGCTTCTTTGTGTTAACAATGTTAAGTTTAAATTCGAGGACAAGCATTATCGCCAGATCGATGGTGTTGCTATGGGAAGCCCCCCTAGGTTCATTGTTAGCTGATAATATTTATATATATATGTCGCATGTCGAAAACCTAGTGGAGAAAGAAATTGGAAAAGTTTATTTTTATAAAAGATATGTAGATGACATAATAGTCATTTGTGATAAACCGACAGATGCCATAGAAATCCTGAACCAGATCACTAGAGCACAAAACGGTATATCGCTAATATACGTTAAAGAGAATAATGGATGCCTGCCATTTTTAGATGTACTCATAACCCACCAAGAAGATGGGTGAGTAAAACGATGTCTACAGAAAGTCCGCATGGACGGGAAAGTATGTAAATTATCATAGTTTCTGTTCACTACAGTATAAAAAGGCGTTGGTTAAGTGTTTGTTCAAGTACATTCACCGTATATATACTGCCGATACAATTGAAGAAGAAAGACAACACCTCACTGAAATATTGTTGGATAACAATTACCCACTGAGATTTATTAGACGTTACGGAAGTGTCAACCATAGAGCTTTACTAATCCAATCAGCTCCCAAAAGGGATGTTTACATATCCTTGCCGCTCAGAGGTGATCAACAAAGTCTAGTCACTAGGGAAAGACTCAAGGCCACGATTAATAGAACCTATTATGCAGCTAAACTTATCTTCATAGAGGAAACGAGAACTATGCTGTCCTGTAAACCCTCACATTATCCCAACGATAGTGCCACATCCCACTGTGTTTATCAATTTACATGTATGTGTGGAGACAAGTACATAGGGAGGACCCATCGGTCTCTGCAGGTTAGGTCTACTGAACATATTCCAAAGTGGCTGCAACAACAAATGAGATCGCTAGGCACTATTGACCCCGGAAATAGATGTCCAACATCATCTATAGCGAAGCATATTATAGAGACGGGTCATAAGGTTAATTTTAACAATGCCTTTAGGCCGATATATAAAACAAGGTTGGGCCACATACTTAAATTCATTGAAGCCTTAGTCATAAAAAGACTTAAACCTGTCTTATGTGTCCAAAAATTATTTGTTATCACCTTAAACCTGCCTTGGTAATCCAATTTAGAGCCAAGGACCAATTTACTTGATAGTATTTTCAACCCCTTCTTTGCCTTGTTTTTTCTCTTTTTATCTTTCTCACCCACACCTTTTGCGTCTCCCTACCCATTATTTGTGACCTTCACCTGCACACAGTCTGACCTGTATTGTAATTATTCGTGCCTTCTATAAAAACTGTATGACGTGTGTGATCAGAATGTCCGAAATGTAGTGCGCCAATACATTACACGTTTCAGATAAACTACATCTTATTGTGTTGTCGAAATTCATAAAGTGAACTACTTGCTTTAAAAGCTAACAAGTTGCATGTTTTTCAGTGCTTCTGATAGACTACAGAATACATAATGAAGTCCACATAGAAGTTCATTTCACTTGGAAATTACTAAGTGATTACATCTGTTCTCATTCTTCAGGCTTAGACATCCGAATATGCACTTCTTTGAGTAGTTAACTGAATCTAAGAAATTAAGGAGTTTAGCAAAATATTTCGGGAATTAATTATGAGGTAAAAAGTTGAATCTCCAATTACCATATCGAGATGATTATTTGTTTGTGGCTCAGTTCATTTGAGAAAAAGCTTCATTTGGAGTTCAGGTCACAGTTATTCTTATTCAGTACTACTGTGGTGTGTAGTACTGAAAAGATTTATCAATAATATAAAAGGAAACGTTTATTGGCACAAAATATCAAATAACCAAGAGATAGATTTGAAGCATTGATTTTGTAGGGATTTTGTTTGATTGCATGGAGGATTTCACCATGAGCTGACATCAGTTAGAGAACCACTGGAAAACCTGGGAGTACTGGACAGCTGTTTCGTCCTAGTTTGGGACTCTTCATCAGTACGCACCCACCGGGGTTCGAACCCAGGACCTTCTGGTTACAAGGCGAGCTCGTAGACCATCGAATCGGGTCCCAGTGGCTCGATGGTCTACGAGCTCGCCTTGTAACCAGAAGGTCCTGGGTTCGAACCCCGGTGGGTGCGTACTGATGAAGAGTCCCAAACTAGGACGAAACAGCTGTCCAGTACTCCCAGGTTTTCCAGTGGTTCTCTAACTGATGTCAGCTCATGGTGAAATCCTCCATGCTATCAGATAGATTTGAAGTCAAAGAGCGGAAGTCAACCAGTATTGCGCCAAAACATAGGCGATACAAAAAGAAGACAAAGCAACACAATACGAAGGCACAGGTAGCACAACATGGAATATATGTATCAATGATGATTTTCATATAAGGTGTACATTATTCTCCTATGTGTATGTGTGTGTGTCAAATCGCTAATAACCATTCTGTTAACAGATATCTTGTCTTTTCCTGTTACAGTACTTACTAGCGAATAGGTATTTCTACTTTTATGATTGACTGACGCCATACTGTTTCAATGATACAGTGATAACAGCTTTTTTAAGAGGTAATATGCTTGTGGTAACAAATACAAAGGAAGGAAGGAGGAGACAGTTGTCGACAAGGATTGTTGGACTCGTATCAAACAGTTCATGATTTAACAGTTGAACTCTTTTTAATACCGTCATAGCTCGGTTTCTGTCCGATACAGGATACCAGATCAACACTTCAAAATGTTTAAATGTAATGAACAGTTTACGCATTTCATAACTATTTATTTTAATTTTTTATTTTTGATTGCAGCTTGATTCCACACTGTATTTTCGGCACAAGTATGGAATTTTCAGCGTGGATATCGGTAGCCCAAATTTTGCAGGCCGACCATAGATATCAGGTGTGCGTCGGCTCGGACCATGTGCATGGTGGGCGAGAGTCCTAACCACTGTGCCACCGACGCACTACGTTGAATTGAACAAGCTATTGACATCTAGATGGTGAAGCCTAAATTATGTGTTCAAAAATCGATTATCATTATCTGATTAATAGCTTGGTAAGCGCTGAATTCATTGATTTATGCAACAAAATTTCATTTCATTTTGATGACACCACTCGAAGTTTGCATTCAGCTTCAATTGTTTTACTAATACTGGATCCCTAATTTTATTTGAATATCACTTCACACGATTGAGCAGCCACCTTTACTTTGGTCTAATCTCACCTTGAAGTTCTAGAACTTTTTTCTCATTACAATAAATAATGGCTATATTCTGATCGTGACTGGTTCTTCTAAATGTTCTATATCCAGTCGGTCATTATACATATAAAATAATTAATTACTATTCACTGTATATCTCTAGATATGATAGAGAAGATTTGTAGCTCAGGCGGATAATTTTGATGTGGTTTTGTTCTCTGAGCTGGATGGTTAGTTTGCGAAGCTTTCATCGCCCTACTGGGTGACATCTTCAGCGCATACTTCAATTTGAAGTGAGCAACCTAAAAGCTCACTTCAAATTGAAGTATGCGCTGAAGATGTCACCCAGTAGGGCGATGAAAGCTTCGCAAACTAACCATCCAGCTCAGAGAACAAAACCACATCAAAACTGTATATCTCTATTCAACATTTTCTGTATCTTCTCAATATGTAGTGTGAAACGCCATCTTAGGTGCAATTCAATCAGCAGTCATAGAATGTCAAAGTCTCATGAGGTGACTATGAATCCCAAGGGATTCAGACATCACAGTTACCCGTTAACTATATTTTGTAGTTGCTTCCACCGCATCGATATTTGGATAAAAATCACACCAGTATCTCACTCAACTCTGGTATACGATAACCTGATGATAACGTTGTATAATCAAATGAAGAAGAATGTGTATAACCGCTATTCACAAGGTTATGCGACATTGCGGCTAACAAGTGAAAAAACACAGGCATATTCATATGCTACTTGAATGTCGTTTTTTACATAACTGACTATTATTACTGCTATCAATAATTTAATTATTAACATAGTAGGTATTTTTTTACTTTGTCTCTGGGAGACATAAAAAGGATTCTAGACAAGCCCTCGAGTGGAACCCGAAAGGGAAGCGGCGAGTTGGTCGTCCAAGGGTGACTTGGAGGAGGTCATGTGAGGAAGAGATGAAAGCATGTGGGCAGACGTGGAGCGAGGTGAAAAAGTTGGCAGAAAACAGAACGCAATGGGGATGCGCAGCTAAAGCCCTATGTTCCTCTAGGAATTAAAGGATATAATAATAATAATAAATGAAGCGAATATATTCATGGCTAATATTATCCTTCAATCAATATTCTGTTGATGTTACTCTTTTGAGATTCACATACCCAGAAATTAAAATGATAGTGATTGGCGTAAATTTTTTGTCTAGTCTTTCTTTTAAACGAAATACTTAGACTGACAGTTCTGTTCTCAATGAAATACAATATTCATGTAAGAAATAAAGGTGAAGTAAACAGATACTATGATGATGGTAATCAATCGCCGATAGAATTCCCATTGGTATACATCGAAACAGTTTCAGAATGCACACCAACACTAGTTGCTCACTTGCCAAAACCATGTTCCTTGCATCAAATAAGTCCAACTGCGCATTATACCATAAATAGTTTGATGAGGAGCTACTGGTTCTCAGAGTAGTAGTATAACAATTAATGCAGTCACTTCAGCTAAAAGGAAGTGAATATAAACATCCAATGGACTCCTTCTATGTAAATGAAACATGAATAAGAAGAATTCTCTCACTAGCGTCATTACGGTGAAGAGGTATTCTGACTGACTTAAAAAAAGGAGAAAGCTAAGCAGGAATGACTAAATCCGTAGTGATATCTGTCTGGACAAATATTTTAAAAAATAAATTTCAAATCCACCTGACTGACATCTATGTTCAGAATGAGCAGTTGTGGATCATTTACATTGATGACAGTTTGAGAGATGGAATGAGATTATGCAGGTGTCAGATATGCTTTTACCTTTTTTGAAGGTGGATTTATCATTTGTCTTTTACAAGTGCCTCATGATGTGGCATTAAAAACACTAAATGGCAAAGTTTGGATCGATAACTAATGCAGGTAACGATATTTCTTTCATTTATGTCTACTCATCAGCTTGAAAAATGAGAACATTAGCAGGAACATAGTGCAAATTCCTTTATGTTTTTGATTCACCTGAACTGTTTTCTGCAGAAGACAAAATATATATATATATATATATCTATATATATATATGATGTATTCACGGAAGATTTAAGTTAATCCGCTAGCTGACATTGGGCATAAATGAAGCTAAATCAAAGTGTCGCGTTCGACCACGGATTTATATCAGTTAGGGAACCATTGAAATCCAGGGAGTGATGGACAGTACTAAACTGAAAATTATAAATAGGAGGAATTCAGTTAATTGAGTTTTCATTCTAACACTAACTCGTAAAACTGAACAACCAGTTTTGTTATACTGGTGCAGATCTTCATCTCCTGCCCATGACAATGTTGGAAGAAGCATATTTGAATTTATTTTTGATCCAATATGCAGACATTACATTTGATGCGTGGTTGTGCAGATATAAACAAATATTCAGAGTAACTTTCGCGAGCAGAGATGACAGCTGGAAAATTAGACTTCTGCTTCACAGTTTGGACTCAGATGAATTAGACAAATACTGCAGTCTGACTCTGCCTCAGAAGCCGAGTGAAGGAACGTTAAACGAAACACTCCGTCAGCATTTCAGTGACTATAGTTTGTTGTCCAACATACGACACCATTGTATGAAACTTGTGCTGAACGAATATGATAATATTCACACGCGGTTAGGTATAATCAGCTGCATTTGACCAACGCTTCAAATTAAATTCACTGACAGAGCATCAGTTTATTTAAAGTACTAATCTCCACTTGCAGTCTGGTCTTCAGAGTTTGTCAGTATAAGAAGACCAGAAAAAGACCCACTAATGACGTCGTAAAATTTTTGAGGAAAATATTAGAGACTAAATAACCTTCATAGACATACCACATTGGTCTCGATTGACAGTCAGAAGGTGGTGGAAGTAGATGCACTACCATCAACGTTAAATCCAATGTATTACTATGAGTGTAAATCACCTTTATCACGCTGGTACTGCAGTGCTCTGTACCGTGACATCAACGGGCTAAGAAAAAGTTCAGTTTGAATGCATGAATTCCTGTGGGAGAATTAGTTTGCTAACGATGGATTTATGGGACTGGACCGACTGATGGAGGTCAAGCATATCATGGACGACGAGATATTTCTTACCGTGTGAAGTAATGACCTATACTATAGGTCACTATAATGGGTGATGTGATCAGATTAATCGACCGAAATCCATGAGTTGGTCCTGTCGGTGCTCCATTTCCAAAGCTATGAACATGACTTCTTATCGTGTCAGTGGTCCTGCATCACGTAAATGCACATATGTAAAAGTGAACTCGTAGCTGGCACACATACAAATAGACACTGCATCAGATATAAAGATAATTGTGGAGTCTCGAGCAATATGATTGTACAATCGAACACCTTGTCAACACTGGCCATTCCATCTCCACAAAAGCCTCATTCAACGTAATCTACAGAGTCAAGAATAATTTACCAAGGGCAATACGCTTTCGTCTCCTTTGTATTGCAGAAGCCTTAGTTATTCAGTTGAAAAACCAGAGTTATGTATACAGTAGAAAATCACCCAACCACTTCTACTAACCTGGCAACAAACGTGTTGATTTCTACCAACTTGACGTCTGTGTGCCTGCTTTTCTAACTTCATTACACCTCTTACATGATTCCATATTCTCCTTCGTTTTTGTATACATCCTAATCAAAACTCACATACAAAAACAACTCATCTTATTCCGTAACTACAATACACCTATTCAATTAATGTCAGTAAAAAGTTTGAGAATTGTGGATTAGATCACATAAAGTATAATTATATTTCAATAGTTATTGCTAATATTTTGAGCAAAATGACTGCCCGTGTTGACACCACTGTTGGAATTGTTTAGTTCACACATTTATGATTTGTACTCATATATATAGTTCATTTTGTTTTGCTCATTCATGGTTTTTGTAATCTGAATTATATTCCAAATTGTTGATAGTTGTACTGAGTCACCCTTCTTACATGTATCCGGTATGACTTTAATGAATATCGATTCTGTTATGAGTCTTTCTTTCCATTTGTTCATGTTAGTTTTTTGAATACACACATTGTTTCAATCGATATTGTGGTTTTTGTCCCATGCATGTGCAGCTATCGATGAATTTTTTTCAAGATTCTTGTAAGCTTGTATTCCTGTTGGTTGACTTCTAGTTAGGCGTTTATGTTCATTCACTCTTATTTTGAGTGACCTGGACGTTTGACCCACATATTTAGTCGGACAGTCAGCACAGGATATTTTGTAAATCACATTGTTTTTATCCATCATTTTTATGGGATATTTCAGTTGATTTGTTTTATTTTTGATTAGATTCGTCGGTTTAAAGGTTGTTCGAATGCCGATATTTTTGAGGTTTCTTTGAATTGCCTCTGATGTACCATTTTTATATGGTATTGTGACTGCTCTTTTGCATTCTTCCATCTTGTTATTCTCCGGTTTTACCCTCTTTTTTCTCTTTTTTATATTATCTTTTATAAATTCTTTTGAGTAGTTGTTTTCGGGTAGCATTTTGAATTATTATTATTATTGTTCCCTTGGATTCCTAGTGGAACATAGGGCTTCAACTGCACGTCTCCACTTGCTTCTGTCTTCTGCTGTACTTTTCACCTGCATCCATGTTAGTCCATACTCTTTCAACTCTTCTTCACACGATCTCTTCCATGTCACCCTTACAATGGCGTCCCACTCGCAGCTTCCCTTCCGGGTTCCACTCGAGCGATGGCCTGACGCGCGCGCGATGTCACCCAGCGGTCTCCTCAGCGAGTGTCCGATCCATCTCCACTTTCTCCTGCATAATTGTTAGGCGATTGGTTCTTGTTTTGTTTGTTTGTTCCGATAGTTCCTTGTTGGTGATTCTTCCCAGCCATCTGATCTTCAGTATAGAGCGAAGATAGTAGTTGTTGATAAAGGTCTGCAACAGGCTGTAGGTTGAAATATTCTATGTGACCCGCCAAGTTTCTGATCCGTATAGAACAAATGACTGACTTGACGTTTGTATTGAAAATCCGAATTGTGTTGGTGATGCTGAGTGACGAAGATTTCCAGATTGATTTCAGGCTGATGAATGTGTTTGTCGATGCCTTCCCGATTCTCGCTCGATTTGATATTCTCGTCTGTTCCGACTGCCTGTAGTTGAGACAATGTCCCCTAGATAAGTGAATGAAGTAACCTCTTTCAAATCCCTCCCGTTGATGGTGATTGGCGCTGGATGTTGCTGTTGTTGGTTATTTTCATCACCCCCGTCTTGTCTATGGTCACATGGAGTCCTGTCTTCGCCAGCTGCTTCTTCCACCAGTTGGTCGGTCGGTTTTCGCTTGTAAGTCTTTGATTTTGTGTGACATCAAACATAAATCATCGCTACGCGAAATCCAGGTCTTCCAGGTTCTTCGCGTCGGTCCAAGATATCTCTGTCTTCTCGTTTCCCACAGTCTGACGCATAATCCAGTCCACCACAATTAGGAATATCATTGGTGGTAATAAGCCAGCACCCTTGTCTGACTCCTGTGTTTACTTCAAACGCCTCGCTGAGTTTTCCGTTGTGGATCACTTGACATGTTCCGTTGTCGTACAGCTGTTGAATAAGGTTGATGAATATTTGGGCGCTGCACTTCGTAGTACTCGAATAGATTCCAAATTACTTCGCGGTCAACGCTGTCTGCCGAAGACCTTCTCAAAGTCTATAAAGTTGAGGTAGAGGTTTGATCGCCACTCCACGCTTTGTTCTGT